GGTTTTTCTCCGGTACCGGGAACCGAACTCACGACCTTGCGCTTGCCAGGCAGGCGCTTTGCCGCTGAGCTAAATCCCCAGCCCCCTTTTCATACTTTAAAAACAATTTTTAAAAATTTTTATCAGTACATGTTTGCAGTAGTGATTTGTAATCTAGGTGAGTCTCTTCCCCATGTAATTAGGTCCCTGGTTATGTTACATAGCACCATAATCTATCTTTCAGAATCTATCTTTATCATGGGGAGTTGGTACATGTATATAACACATCCTAATTCTCTTTATGTCCCCTTTCCTTTTGTAAAAGATGCTTCACCCTGTTTCCTATTATTTATAGTTTACTTTGCTCTATGTTTATACTTTGAATTTCTCATATGAGAAATCATGCACTATCCAAGCTTATGGTCTCAAGGTACAACAGTTTACCTGCAAATGACTCCAACATTATCCCATCCTTTTGATGGACATATAGGCTGATTTAAAGCTGCTATAAGTTGTTCTGCTATAAACATGGGTACGCATTTATCATTGTAATGTCGTAACTCTTCCAGGAAGATACCCACATGGGGAATAGCTGGGTCAGGTGGAATTTCTAGTTTTAATGTGAGGAATCTTTATACTGATTTCCACAGTGATTAGGGCCAGGGATATACCTCAGTGGCATAGCATCTGCCTGGCAAGAACAAAGTCCCAAGTTTGATTCCTGGTACCAAAAAAAAAAGTGGTAAATCCATAATGGTTGTACTAGTTTACATTCCCACCAACAGTATAGATGAGTTCGTTTTCACTACCTCAACAGTGTTTGTTATTATTTGCTTTTTGATTATAGACATTCTTTCTGGAGTAAGATGGGATTTCAGTGCTGCTTTTAATTTGCATTCCTCAACTGGCCAGTGATATTGAACATTTTTTTCATTTATTGTCATTTATACTGCTGAGAAGTGTCTATTCAATACAGTTTGATTGGGTCTTCTATTGGGGGGGGGCTCTAATTTTTTTGAGGTTTTTATTTATCTATTTACCCTTTATATTTTGGGGGGTTTTGAGACAAGATCTTTCTGTGTACTTCAGGCTGACTTTGCTTTTATTTTTTTATTTGTTTGTTTCAGTTTTATTAAAGGTAGGAAGACAAACAGGCTCTGTGGAACAAGTTTGGGCCAAGATGGGAAAAGAAGCACTCCCTGCTACTGTATGGGAAGCGGGGCACCATCTATGCAAGAGAGAACACAATTGTCCAGGCTGACTTCAAACTTGCAGTATTCCTTCTGCTCCAGCTCCCAAATGCTGGAATTACAGGCAGGCGCCACTACGTCTGGCCCTTTTTTTTTTTTTCCCCGAGACATGGTCTTGCTCTGTAGTCCAGGCTAGTCTCAAACTTGCAGCCATCCTCCTGCCTCAGCCTCCCAAAGGCTGGGATTACAGCCATGCACCATCCCAGCTATACCTAGCCTTTGAATTCTTTATGTATTCTAGATATTAGTCTTCTGTCTGAGGAGTACCTGGCAAAAACTTTCCCCATTCAGGAAGTTATCTCTTCTCTCCATTGTTTCTTTTGCTGTGCAGGTTTTTAACTTGATATAATCCCACTTGTTTATTTTTTATGTTATTTCTTGTGCAACTATGGTTCTGTTCAGAGAAGTCTTACTGTACCTATTTTATCTTCCAGCAGATTCTGTTTTAATATTTAAATCTTTGATACAGGTTGATTTTAGCATAGTACCTGGTGAGAGATATGGGTATAGATTCAATCTTCTGCATGGTCATGCTTTAATAATAGCAGATTCCACTAAGTCTCGAAGAGTCCCTAAAGCCCATGGTTACACATTTTAAGTAAATAAGGCCCACTGTCACGTTTGATTAGTTCAGCTTTTATTTTTAGAGAAAGCTAGCCCTACATTCAGTTATTTGAAAAGTAGGTGGTTGGTTATGGTCCCAGCCCACACATGAATTTCACCAGAGAACCTGACAGACATGAGTGTTCAGGAGGGGAGGGTGCCATAACCAGAGATCAACATCTTGTTTTCAATTTTGGTCTGAGTTTAAGGTATGTGTAATTTCACTGGGGGAGCGCAGTTAGGAGCTGAGAAAGTTTCAGATTCAGAGGAGTCTGAGGCGCGTGCGGCTGCTGAGCTCGACACCATGCTTCACCTCCACAGCTGCAGCCAGACCTGGGACCTCGCACAGGAGGAGCAGGTTTCCGCTCAGTGGACCTTTCCGCCCAGCCCTACCTTATCCTCGCTGTAACACACCCAACTGCAAAATTCCAAATGACAGGAAGACTCCTGAAGGTCTCCAAACATGAACTGTCCTTTTTGTAGCCAGAGGAGTGTATCCCACAAGCCCTGCTCACCTCCAGATCTTCCTCAAATAAAACACAAAAAACAAAAAGGCAGCACCTGACTCAGAAGTCCCACACGGGTTCACGTGCTCACCTGCCGCATGTACAAGGTGGTGTTTGAGTGACACAAGGTAGACCCCGACAACCCGCTTCTTTCAACTCAATCTCTGGGCTTCCCGTGTCACTGGTTTGCCTCTAGAAGCTCAATTTATGAGCTCTCTACTTCACAGGTCGGGTGACTTTCAGACTTTGGCACCCATTTCTATTTAGATATCAAGTTTGGTTCCTAGGCAACAGGTCAGCTTCTCTCCCTCTTTCTTCCCCCGTCAGGGAGCCAGTTTACTATACTAGCAGAACAGGTCAAACAAAGCTCAATCCTGGACAAATCAGGCTTGAGGGAACTTTAATGAAAACAAGAAAAAAATCAGTACAAGAACAATGCAAAAAGGTTCTGTTCCAGGCAGTTTGGGAACAAAATAGAATGAAGTAATCAAATCAAGGCTTTAAAACTGAATGAAATTTGGGCATTATTCCAATCTTTATGTATTTACAAGTAATAAGGTTGAAGCCCAGAACTTAAATGACTTGCTGAAGGTCACGCAGGAGAAAAGCTGTAGTTAGTACCCTGGTGTCAAAACTACCAAACCTAATGTCCTCTTAGTACATCTTACTACCATCAGAAGGTTTAAAAGAGAAGAGGATACACGCCTGTAATTCCAGCACTTGGGAGGCTGAGGAAAGAGGATCACCGAGAATTGAGGCCAGCCTGGGGTACATAGTGAGTTCAAGGCCAGCCTGAACCGCATAGCAAGACCCTGTCTCAAAAAGAAAGAAAAGGAAAGGAAATTATGGCGATTTTCCATAAATTAAATCAACTTTAAAAGCTAGGCACATTTGGAGTTAGGGACTTCTAACATTGTTACAGGAAAGAGATTTAAAAGCCGGTAAAATCTGAAAAAAAAAAAAAAAAAAAAAAAAAAAAAACCATATATACAATATGGGGGGACAAGAGGAGGAGGAGGGGAGAAAGGTGTTTGCAATCACTGGGTAGGCAGGGCAGGAGGCAGTTGCATGTTGGGGGTGGGCTGCATGGGCTGCCAGCTTTCCTGAGTTTGGAGGATGCGGTACAGCTGCTTCAGCTGAGTGACAATGTTATCTTTGATGTCTGGAGTCGAGATCTGCAGGCGGACACTGCCACTGTCAAAGGAGCGTGCAAAATCACCAGAAAACATCTCATAGATCATCCGAGCCACCACGGGAACAACCTGTTCAAGACACAGCACATGAGTATCCACTGAGGAAAAAGTAGTTTTAAATAGCAAGAGAGACCCAAGATTGAAAGAATCAATAGGTCTCTGGGAAAGCCCCACTGTAATGTCTACGTACACTCCTCTCTTCAGACCATCCTGCCAATGTTCACTGTAGAAGTTAGTTCAACAGAATGTAAAGAATCTATATATAGCATCATATCGCATACCCCCCAAAAAGACTGCTCACTTGTTAAGACTTTTAACCAAGTGTCATTTTTGCCTGCTTCATTGCCTAACTCTGAGATCCAACCCCTTGCTGCCATCCCTACAATAAAATTACATTCTTAAACCAAGTCAAGTCTGGGCGTGGTGATACACGCCTGTAATCCCAGTACTCAGGAGGCTGAAGCAGGAGGATCTTTGCAAGTTTGAGACCAGCCTGGGCTACAAAGTGAGCTCAAGGCCAGCCTGAACCACATAGTGAGACCCTGTCTCAAAAAGACAAATAAATAAATAAATATATCAGCCACCCATTTTAAAGACCTCACATTCTCGAGCTGAGTCCTACTGTACAAAACTTAAGCCTGCTACCCTATCTGATAGAATTAAAATAAGCACAGACTGGTGGATGCTCAGTCAAGACTCAACCGGACCTGGGGCTAAAGCACTGACAAAAAAAAAGTTGTTAACATGTCCTTATTCCTCACCTGAACCAAGATGAGCTTCCTTTCCAAGGGCTTACCATCTGGCCATTCCTCCCCAAAGCACAAATAGATCTCAAATGGTGGCTGCTTCTCTATCTGTCCCTTCTGGTGGGCAATGAGGTCTGCAGAGAGTGGAAGAATAAGTTTGATACCATGCTTCATTTCATACCCATTCAGTAAATACCATTTTACATACTGTCTGGTGCAACAGTCACTTGTGTCTCTTAATTTTAAATCAATTAAAATTAAATAATTACTTGCTTAGATCAGTCGCACTTACTTGCTCAATAACCACATGTGGCTTGTAGCTACCACACTGAACAGCATTAATATAGAACATATTCGTCATAGCTGGAAAATAAGACTATTCTAAACTTGGCATTCAAACCATACTGTAGAATCCAAATCTCAATGCTCTCCCTGAAACTGTCTGCTTGAATTCACCATTCAAATATCTCCCAGAAGAAAAAATGCATGCTTTGCCAAATATGACAGTGACTCCAGTTAAAGATAAGCTGACACAGTCGGGCGTGGTGGCACACGCCTGCAATCCCAGCACTCGAGAGGCTGAGGCAGGCGGATCATTGTGAGTTTGAGACCTGCCTGGGCTACAAAGTGAGCTCAAGGCCAGCCTGAACTGCATAGTGAGACCCTGTCTCAAAAAGACCAAAAAAAAAAAAAAAGATAAGTTGATAATGTATAAGGGTAATTATAAGATTCTCATGCTCTTCTGCCACCGAAGGAGTGACAAGCAGCAAAATAGCTTCTCCTTTCTTCATTGCCTAGGTCGCTTTCATTTTTTAGAACCAAAGTCCTCAGCTCCCTTGACCTCTTCCAAAAGAAATTTTGTGGTTAAGGTCTTTGCTGAGCCAGAAAAGGAAGGAGGCATAAGAGAAGGATAGAGGAAGATCAACTTCCAGAAAGTAATTCCATCATCAACCTTATAATAAAAGACTCACCACTCAGGAATGTTTCTAGACAAAAGAGCTTGACCTTCTTTTGTCTCTCAATCAGGTTGGGGGCAACAAGTGATGGGGCACATGGCCCTGACCAGTACACCTTGCACTGGCACAGCCTGATGGCATAAATGGCATGACCGCTGACCTCCAGGATCAGTCCTCTGTCCATGACGTCCAGTAGCTTGCTGGTAAACAGCTTCTGCTTTTCATTGGTGATATGCTCTGGCCCTGGGAACTTGACCTGCTCCAGGCTAACGGGACCAAAGAGCTCCTCCTGGTCAGGCATGGGACCCAGGTCCCCATAGAAGAGCCGACAGCCCTGGGGGTTGCTCACTGTCATGGTCTGCCCGTACTCCTTCCCACGGTACTGAAACTTGATATCCAGGTCAGTCACTACAAGGTGAGAGATGACAGTGAGACTCCCATCCATCCCTAAGATTCCATGCAAGTCCATCAAGATCAAGCCACCTTTCAGATGGCACAAAGGAAGGGCTCTGCCATAGTTACAATTCCTACAATAAGGGGAAGCATCATTGTATCCCGGAATATTCATCCACAAGCTGCAGGGGCAAAGGCTAATGCCCTTTGATACCATTTCTGTTCTCCCTTAAGGGCTGGAATTTCACCTAGCAAAGAGCTGGGTCCTGATGTCCCCTGCCATTCTGACTGAATCTCTGTGTCAACAGGCATTAGAAGGAGCTAGACACTAAAGTAACTGGTCTGCATCTCATTTTTGGTTGTTATTTCAAGAAACTAGAGGAACGAGAACTATGAAGCCATCTTTGCGAGAGTCATGGCACGTCCGTTCCATCAGGGCAGCAGGTGCAGCCTGCGAAGATCAGGGCAATAACACCGACACTTCATTAACATAAATGTGTGCCAAGTTCAGCAAGAGGCCCTAGCACTCCTCAAACTCAAGAGCCTTGTTAGCCAAATCTGTGGCCTTCAACCTCCCTGTCCCACAACTGGCCTTGTCACTAAGTCCGCTAGCCAGACTCAGGCCCAGACCTCCTGCCTACTGCAGGGTTGAGTAGCATGGAGTCCCAGCCAATCAGAGCACCCCCTGGCAAACATGTCCAGGCGATGTTGTTTCACTCCCTGTGACTCATCCAGCAGTCTGGAAGCAGGCACAGCGGCACCAGCGGACAGGCAGCTATTCTACACATAGCAAGGTAACAGAGGCAGCGTGACAGGAAAGGCACTGGAACAGGAAATGAGACCCAGCCAGAAAGATCAAGGCTCACTTACTTGGGAGAGAGCTGATCCACAGCTCTGGAGAGCTATAAAAGGGCTGGATGGGTGCCTGGGGAACTTCCATCTCCAGAGGTTCTGTTTTGGGCCACACTGCTTCAGGGCTGCAGTTGCCCACACTGCAGTTGCCCACACTGGCTGGCGCCATTGGAGAACCTAGAACACAAGCATGAGTGTGAGCGACAGGGCCGCGAGTATGTTCATCACCCTTTGGAGGCTCTGGGAACCAGCAGGTCAATAGAGTCAAACACCGAAACGTGACCCACTGCAGTCACCCCACGTAGGTCCCCGTAACTCCCAGTGGTCCCCTGCTTCTGCTTCTCAATCCTATCATTTCATGCATAAGCTCATAGCTTAAAGCTTGTTTGCTAAAATGAACACAGAGACAGCTGAGCTTTCTCTCAGAGTTAAATTAGAAAGGCACAAGGGAGAGGTACTTCCCTAAGGAAATTGGCCCCAGTAACTGAATAGGAGCTGGTTGCCTCCTGAAGTGAGCTCCATGGAATTAACTAATTTGCTCAAGTAAGTATGAATGTATAGAAATTCTATTAAAACAACTGTGTCATCTGAGTCATCTGTAGGAAAATGGGTCCCCATGAGACCATAATGTTAAGGGAAATAAATCAGACTCACAAGCTTAAAAATCTCATGGTTTCTTTCATATGAAAAACCCAAGTATAGATAAGTTCAAGAGCGAAATAAAAGACATGATAGGAAGAAGGATGACAGATCTTTTGTAAAAGGGAAGGGACCGAGAGATGGAGAGGGGAGGTGAGAGGGGAAGAGAAGGGGGTGAAAAAAGATGTGTTACATATATGTACCAACTCTACAGTGAACGTCATCATTACATACTGAAAACATATATTAATAAAAATTTATATAAAAAATAAAAGCAGCACTTCCCTGCAAAAATAAATAAGGTGAGTTGCCCTTCTGATTTACGCCACCTTTCAACTGGCATTCAGGTCACCCTTGGTTGCCCTTCTGATTCATAATGAGACTAGACTACATGCCTTCTAAGGCTTCACATAAATCTCAACATTGCAGGCCCTTTAGCATTTATGTTTCAGTTATTTTTCTGATAATAATTCTTGAAATTCACCTTCCTCAGTCGGGTATGGTGGCGCACACCTGTAATCCCAGCACTCAGGAGGCTGAGGCAGGAGAATTATTGCAAGTTCAAGACCAGCCTGGGCTACAAAGTGAGCTCAAGGCCAGCCTGAACTGCTTAGCAAGACCCTGTCTCAAAAAGACGAAAAGAAAGAAATTCACCTTCCTAAAAATTATTAATGTATTTAGTGAGAAGCTAATATGTGCTGACTGCACTGAGCTTGATTGTGTTCGTTGGAGAGGGAGGGGTAGACAGACACAAAAACATACATTCCAGTAGTGCAAATAACATTTTTTTCTGGCCTTTAATCCCAGCAGTCAGATCACTGCAAGTTTGAAGCCAGCCTGGGCTATAAAGTGATCAAGATCAGCCAAAGCTACATAGCAAGGCCTTGTCTCAAAAAAAAAAAAGAGACCAAAAAAATTTTTTTTCCTATCTTGCAGAGTCTTTCTTAAAGTTATAAAAACAGTGTAGGTATAGTGACATACACCAGTAATCCCAGCACTTGGGAGGCTGAGACAGGAGGATCGCCATGAGTTTGAGTCCAGCCTGGGATGCACAGTGAGTTCAAGACCAGCCTAAACTAGCCAGGCCTTGACTCAAAAAAAACAAAAATAATGTAATAGGTAATTGTAAATATTCATTAAAAATAATAAAATTATAAGAATAATTCATAAATCATTAGAAATATATTTATATGCATAATAGGTCTGGAAGACACTCAAGATCCTAGAAAGATCTGTCTCCAGGGAAAGAACTGGAAGATTCAGAGACAGGATGGCAAGAAAACCTTTCTACAGATTCCTTTCTTGTACCATTATGATTTTTTCTTTTTTTAGAGACAGGGTCTCACTATGTAGCTCAGGCTGGCCTTGAACTCACTGTGCAGCCCAGGCTGGACTCAAAACTTGTGGCAATCCTCCTGCCTCACCCTCCAGAGTGCTGAGATTACAGGCGTGCACCACCATACCTGGCTCCATTATGAATTTTAAACCATGTCAAAGTATTATTCATTCAAAAATATTCCACTAAAGTGTCTTTAAAAATGGTGAAAACCCTAATTCTATTTCCCCGCTCCTATCTAAGTTCACTTGCTCCAGAGTCTATAGATCTCCCTTCCTACTCTCACCTCTCAGGTGTCTATTCTTTAATACTTGTTTTTCTCCTGCCCCAAAGGATCTGAAATCACAGAAGTTACTGTTTTGTTGACCCTTTGGGTTCAAGCCCGGTTAAATCGGTATATCCGTTTTACACTTTCATCTTTACCATTATTCCACAGCTTTCCACAAAGGATCCAAGGCAGCCCAAAACACAAGCACACACATTACATTTAACACAATATGAACAGAACTAGGAAAGTAGGATGTCTTGGAAATAAGTTACATCCTTTCAAGGGATAAGAATAGCAGAGTAAATCAACCAAGAATTTGGGAAAGGATCTTACGTTTCTGGATATGTACTCTTAAAATGTCACTAAGAGGGATACAGCATATAGCAATATTGACCTAGAAGATCTACATGAAATTTTTCTCTACCCATTACTTGGCTGCAAAGATGTAAATGGCAGGATAAAGAGGGTCAGTGGGCAGATAATAAGGGCAATTTCCTGATTCCTCTCCTACCACAGGGTCCCCCCAAATCCTAAAGAAAGCATCCTGGTATATGTGGCTTTCTAAGTGGCACGTTAGCTCATAGAACTCACAGTCCCCAGGTGATACTAAAAAGATAGAGAAAGGCTGCTGACCTGGAGGCAGGTCATTTGAATAGTATCTCAGTGACAGGTGATGTGAAGATGGTACAGAATAGCAATTCAACTTGCATTTGAAAATTAATCAGAGTAGGCAGCAGGAGACCGAGTACCTGCTGCCACACTGTGGCCTTCTAACCTCTCAGTTCATCCTTCCTGGGAAGCTGAAGCCAAAGGTCCATAAAAGAAGTTTTTTGTAGATAAATGCTATTACAGCCTAGCATTAGTGGCCATAGAAATCACAAGTTTCTCATGGTACATCCTAAGTAGAGTGGTCCCTGTTAAAGAAGCAATACACAATTTACACCAAGGAAAATACTGGAGGTTTGCCTACAATTCATAAAATGACATATGCACAGAAAGAAATTGGCAGAATTTAATAACCACTGATATATTTATATGTAGGATTTGGAATGAATTTAAATTCTTTCTTTTTTTAAATTCACTTTTTAAAATTAGACATTCTAGGGGCTGGGGATTTAGCTCAGCGGCAAAGCGCCTGCCTGGCAAGTGCAAGGTCGTGAGTTCGGTTCCTGGTACCGGAGAAAAACCAAAAAAAAAATAAATAAATAAAATAAAATAAAATTAGACATTCTCAGCACGGTGATGCACACCTGTAATCCCAGCACTCGGGAGGCTGAGGCAGGAGGATCACCATAAGCTTGAGACTAGCCTAAGCTACATAGCCAGACCCTGTCTCAAAAAAACTGAATAAATAAATAAATAAAAATAAAAGTAGACATTCTCTAGAAGCCTAAAACCCACCCCACTGGGCTGCAGGAACCACATCAGCAAACAACCCTTGTCTGTGACTCCTGCTTCCTGACAGACCAGCAATCTGGCCACAGGGCTTGACCACTGCGCCCAGGGCAGAGACGGCTGAGGGCAGCGGTTCTGAGGTCAAAGCCACTTCCGTCGCCTTTGTCCCTGTGTGCTGCCCACCACCTACTCACCATTGATATTCAGGAAGGGGAAGGTGTCTTGGATGGGAACATGGTGCTGCGACTGATCGAGCTCATCGTCCTCGTCTTCCTCATCCACATCATTATCCTTCTCATCCCAGGGAGCAGAGCCTGTGGACCCTACGCGAGACACAAGCTGAGCAGCTAAAGGGGGCCGCCCGCACAGCAGCTGACCAACCCCCGCCAGCACAGAGGCTCCCCAGGGTCAGTCTGTACCCTCAAAGCTCTGGCAAAAACAGAGGAAATTCAGGGTGACTAACTCCTAGTTCCAGCTCCCCTGTGGAGCCCGGATGCACGCTTTCTTCTCTTCCTCTGCCAAGGACTGCAAACCCCACTCCCTTCTCCTGGAACTCTCCACACATCGGCATAGCTGTATGTTAGCTTCTTGTGTGGCAGCATCTCTTTTTGGAGTTGAAGACAATAGCTTTTCACCCTTGGGTACTTATTACGAAGCACAGACTCCTGCCTCATGGGGAGCCTCACTGGATTTGTGGGACTCCACATTCCAACTGTCTGGCTCTTAGGATTCCCTCAGCATTGAGTAAACAGGATTGGGTGGTAGTCTCTTAACAAAAGTATCCTTCAAAATGAATGATCACTCATTCAACATTTCCAAAGCACCTCATAGCTCTCACAGATCATGTTCATTGATTCCAACAACAGCCTTTGAAACAGGCAGGAAAGATGAGATCTCCCATTCTAGAATTGAAGAACAGGCTCAAGAGGCCCAATGGCTCAGTTCAAATCCCACAAACGAAGTGAGAGGAGCCAAGTTTAGACTTCTAATTCATTCTCCTCCAAAACCACCAGCCCCTCACATCCCAGGAGAGGTTATTTTTACGGCAGAACTCTAGACTTCCTCTACCTTTTCATGCTTTAAGCAATCCAGGTAAAAACCATTCCTCTAGAGGAACAAGATGGTACTGAGCTTAAATCATGTTCTCTCTGGATCTTAGGCAAAGGCTTTCTTACTTTACCAGTCTTGAACTTTGACACAAATTGAAAATTGTTTTCAATTTTACTATCTCTTTTAGTGCCCAGGCCAGAGTCTGGCATATGGGCCACTCTCTTCCTACACTGGGGCCTCACCTGGGTTAATGATCGAGCCCTGGGGCTGGGGGATGTCACACACTTGGTAAATCTTCACTGGATTCATAGGCACCTCCTTGGTGCCGTCATACATCAGGTTGAATTCCCGGCTCTTGTTGAGAGCACAGCGGAGCTGAGCCTTCCATTTAGCTGGGTCAGGGTCATCCACTCCTTCCTGATACTTGCCGGTCTCTACAGCCCAGGCCTGAGGAACAGGAAGCCACAGTGAGTGCCTACTACTGCCCAGCACCCCTCTGCAGCATGCACTCACCCCCTTCATACAGACACCCCACACCTGCACAGGTGCCCCAGTCTTTACTCCACCATGCAGAGAATACAGCAGGCAAGGCTGCCCTTAGGACCAGGCAAGGCAGGGCCAAAGGGAAATTAAGTTGTGTGCAAACACAATTCCTTAAAAGGAGGAGCCTTATCTCCAGCCTTCCTGCCAGAACCTGTCAGGACAGCACTACTGCACTAAAGGCTTGAAAGTAAAGTCTGGAGCAAATATGTATCAACTTGCTCCTGGATGGCAGGACTTCAGGCAGTCTTTCTTCCTTTTAACGTTTTTGACATGAGTTGCTTATACAACAATAAATATTACAAAGGGGAATGGCAGATGATATAAAAAGTTTGGCCCACTGGTCCTTGGCTGCATCTTCAATATGATGCAGGTATAACTGTAGAGACCCAGCGCCTTTAGAAAGACAAGAGCTGGGTATGTTGGCGCATACATGTAATCCCAGCACTCAGGAGCCTGAGGCAAGAAGATTGCTGCTTGCAGGCCAACCTGGGGCTATATAGCGAGTTTAAAGCCAGCTTGAACTACATAGCAAGACCCTGACTAAAAAAGCAAAAACAAAAACAAAATAACAAGGAAGATGGGCATCCAGCTTGCCCTCTGGCTGAGAGCCTCAGGTCCTGTTAAACCAGGCTCCCCTCCTTTCCCTATTCCTCAAACTCCTACTTCACTAGAAGCATCTTTCTGTCAGCCACATGAGTGGCTGATGGCACAGTCTACAACCACTGAGACCCCTCCTTGGTTTCCAGATATGGGAACTCAGAGCACTGCCTCCACACAGGGGGAACGAGCAACCTCCCGGAAAGAGGGGGGCAAATCCAGGCTGTTTGTGCTACAGGCCATGTTTCCCAGGGACAGAACAAGGAGTAGAAAACCTATGCCTACTTCCAGGACTAACAGGCATGTACAATTAATATGGTGTGATCAAAGTATATAGTGAGTTTAATTTTTCCAATTTACTACAAAAAAAGACACATTGATATTAATCTCCCTCAAAATATGCTTCCCTAGTTTAAACACACTTCTCCCATCATTCTTGCCGCTCTCCAAAGCAGTTCTGGAAGTCCTCTTTTGTGAGTGTCTCTGTGGCACAGCTGTGGCTAACTCAGTGTTCTGAACCAATTCAAAACATTTACCCTTCATAGTCATTCTGACTTTGGAGAAAAGCTAGAAGTTGCCTAGTACCAGATCTAGTGACTAAAGTAAATGCGGACACACCTTAGTGTTTTTACAAGCCTGCCTTTCCATTACGTGGTACTCAGCAGCAGCATTCACTGTATTTTTGATCAAACTTTGTAAAGATGCTCAAGAAACAGACTTCCAGAACTGCTTCAGAAAGTGGCAGGAATGATGGGATAAGTGTGATCAAAGCAATGGAATATATTTAGAGAGGGATTAATGGCAATATAACTTTTACTGTGAAAAGGTTTTTAAATTTAAACCTTTTTTGTATCTTTTGTTCATGCCTTGTATGTTTCTACGCACAGGATACCATCCCTCACCGGTTGTTAACAAACTCTCTGATCACTAAGCATCCTCTGGAGTGTGACACATTAAACACAGAAAAATAGATGTGACTAGGAAAAACCCAAGGCAGGAAGCACCCACTAACTTTTCAAAAAATCAGCAGAGCATACCACTAGTCCAAACCCACTCCCTATCTCTGCTTCTGTCCAGACTTCTTCCTCAAGCTGAAATTCAGTCTTCTACCCTATCCTGAGATCTCTCCTCTCTCTAGAGCCTCGTGGTTATGAGGGAGATTCTTTACAGAGCTGATCTAATCCTCCACCTGCCCCAAATCAGCCCCACTTCCTCTAACCAGCTCCTCTGACTTGGGCTCCTCCATGTGCCTTGTGGTATGGAATGCAGAACTCTGACAAGGCCATGCTGCCCTAGGTGGCTTGGCGGGCCTGAGGGAGCCTAATTTCTACCATTGCATCTGACCTCCATGGGCCCCTCAGGGGGGTTCCAACTCCATGGGCCCCTAGTGTCTGGGAGGCTTTGACCCTCTGTTCACGCTCACTCCAGCCCCACCCAGCCAACTTGGGCTGTGCCAATTTCGGCAGAGGTTTTAGAATTTCGGTGATTCCCAGAATCCTGCTTCTCTGTGGACAGCGGCCAGATGAACGCAGGATCACAGTTTCCTGCTCACCACCCACTCAGATGCTGCTGAGGACCTCGGGCTGATGCAGTGGAGGGGCCACCGTCAGGGATGGAACTTCAGGCTCAAGGGAGGATGCCTTCAAGGTGCCACATGGCAACCATCGCGACTTCGGAACATTACTCGCTGAAACCCGGTCTGAGCACTGTTTCAGAGACTGCTCACTGCACAGGTCCCTATTTCTCTTCCTAAAATGGAATCATCTCCGCAGTTTTATGGTGCTTTACAAGTCCCTTCTTATACTGGATTCCACTTGCTTCTCACCATAATTCTGGGAGGCCGGCAAGACAGGTTTCATCGCATTTACTAAACAGGAAACTGGAGCATGACAGGCCTTGTTCAGGACCACACACATAATCAATGGTGGCAGGATTTAATCCAACTCCTGGTCAGAGTCAGAATGGGCAGTATGATGGCGTGAAGCAGGGTAGGGGACCAAGAAGACATGAGTTGAAATCCTAGACCCAGCGTTTAATGGCTCTGTGATTTTTGACAAGTGACGTAGCCCTGCTGAGGGTTTTTGCATGTACAACACGAGGGCGCAGCCTCACTCACAGGGTTACCGTGAGAATTCAATGAGGTCATGCGCACAGGCCCTCATTGGTTGTTAGTGCCCCAACTGCACAGCTTGCCAAGGGCTATCAAAGCTTGGATCTGGAAAAATACCCTTACCGTTCTCCTGACCTCCCCAGGCCCCCGCTGAGCATTCAACAAACAGATATGGTGGTAAAATAAAGCAAAGCGGCCTCCCTGAAGCTTTCCTCAAGTCCCAACCAAGCACCCTTATGAGTGGGGCTTTCAGGAAACCTGCCTCTTCTGCATAGCCAACCAGGACCTTCAACAGCAAGCCCTGTTCCAGTTCAAGGCCCCCCCACCTGCTTGACACCAACTCGAAAACTGGGTTACAGATTTTCCTTAATGCCTGTTATTTATATCTAAACCAAGAGCTCCCATTCTCACTTTTTCTAGGTACCCACAGGTCAGCTTTTGCTGTCCCTGCTCTTTACACCAGACATAGCTGAGTCGGGTGTGGAACACTGCTATAAGCCACTCCTCGAGCCCTTTTCTGGTCCTACTGCAGAAAGAACCTGGGGCATCACTCTTGAGAGGCCCACAGTCATGACTGGGCCGCATTTCCACCTTCCAGCTTATAGTCAGGGATGAAAAGGACAAGCTCACTTCTCTGTATGCTGGGGATGAAAGAAATAAAGCTATTCCTAGGATGGAAGAGACTCTCGGGGAGAAGTGGGTCTGGAGTGAAGGCAGCTTCTGGAATTACAACCATGAGGACGGAACCCCTTCCCTCAACAACTGCTCGTCACTTCCGTTTGAAGTCAAGCTTTAATTCACTGAAATTCTGTGAGATGCTATGTGATTAAGTCTGTTTTCAGCTAATAAAGTAACTATCACAACAGAGCTGTATTCTACTTAAGAAAACATAATTTGGGCTGGGGATGAAACACAGTGGTAGAGTGCTTACTTTGCAAGTATCAGGCCCTGAGTTCAGTGCGGGTACCACAAAGAGAATGAAGGAAAAAAGCCAAAATAAAAAAAAAATTTAAAAGTTGGCATAGTGCTAACTTATGGGAGGCAGAGTTGAAAGGATCACAAGTTCAAGCCCAACCTGGGCAAATTAGCAGCTTAGCAATACCCTGTCACAAAATAACTAATAGTAAAAGAAAAGAAGAAAGAAACACACACACAAAAGAAAAACAAATAAGTAAATAATTTTTTAAAAGGACTAGGGATAAGCTTGGTGCAAAGACCCTGGATTCAATCCCCAGAACTGAGACAAGGAAAAACAGAAACGAAAGAAAACGTACTTAAAGAATTAAAATCCTTACTTAAATCACCTTTAATTTTTAAGCAGAATTTACAAATAGGGGGAAAAATTTTACTATCACAAGAACAACTTGCTATGGGTCCTCTACATCCTCTCCCAGGCTATGTCAGGAGCCTGCTAAGACCCTAGGGTTCCGTCCCACCCTGTACAGCCATCCCTGGGCCAAGCACCATCTCCAAGGCAAGAGTCCTGAATGAAGGCATGAAAAGGAAGAGTCAGGGCCAACCCTTGATAGGGTGCCAGCAATCGCATCACTACAACCACTTGCAGTTTAGCTGATCCCACATCAGATCCTCGGGGACATGAACTGAGAACCTCCAACCAGTGCAAATGAACAGAGGGCTTCAAGCATCACAGGAACATCCCAAGAAGAGGAATTATTATTTGTTTGTCTTTTTTTTTGAGACAGGGTCTCGCTATGCAGTTCAGGCTGGCCATGAGCTCACTTTGTAGCCCAGGCTGGTCTCGAACTTGCAACAATCCTCCCACCTCAACCTCCCCAGTGCTGGAATTACAGGCACGCACCACCATGCCCGGCAAGAAGAGGAATTATTATAATACACCTGCTAAATTGGGGTGCCTCCACCCTAAACATTCTGTTTCATCAGTTTTGGATTTACTATATTCCCCGTGCCAAAACAGATGGAGCAAACAAACCTAGAAAGGTCTGAGAAAGCTGGGAAAAATTTCAACTCAGATGGTAGAAAGTCGTTTACCTTAAAAATGGTGTTCTCCTCTTCCTGCTGGGGGCTGTGCCGGGTGGCGTGTTTCCAGGGTATCTGGAAGCGCTTGGAGTCACGGTGCAGCCAGATGAGCCCAGGGTAGAGACCACTGTCCACCTGGGCCACCAGCCAGGGCTTCAGCCGGACTCTGCGGGGATGGAGGGCCATGGTCTGGGGCCAAGGGCTGAGAAGTGGGCAGAGCAAGAGAATTAGGCCAGCCACCGGGAACTTGTCCCAGCCACTGCTCCTGTGTGCTAGAGCTACGGTTTCACTAGATTGCAGCAAAGAAACTAAATATGGGAATAAACCCTGCCAAGCGAGAAAGAAAAAAAAGAGGTTAAAAGGTTCTTTTGATTCTTATTCCAAAGCCATTTATACTTCATGCTCTAGCCAAATCAGACTTATCATGCAGGTAGATCACATTTCTTCTATTTCAATCCTGAAGCAGGAAAATAAAAAGGTGATTTCATCCCCGCTGGAATGGTCCTTCCTGAAGTAGCAAAGGCTTTGGAAGAGAAGGTGAGGGCCCCTTTCAGCCTTGCCTCGGAGAGGGAAGGCAAGAGCTATGGAAACAGCAAGGATCCGGTGAGAAGCTGAAGCAGGCCATCATTTCAAACAGGAAAACCGAAAGTGAGAGGGAATGTCTCGGTAAGAAGCTACACCATTGTGAGGAGGGAAGTAGCTGGGCGACAGGTACAAAGTCCTCGCTTACCTGGGGGAGCAGGCAGTTTGTCCACTGGGAGCCGATCAGCCGGGCTGAGTCTGCTTTCCTTCCTGTTGGCCACCGGAAGACTCTACGCCAAGAAGAAGGGGCCTAGCAGGTTACCACAGAAACCAGGGTCCAGAAGCCTGGAGAATGGTAGAGACCATTGCTCTGGGAGTACTTTCCAGCTACAAAAAGCCTGTAATAATCTAGCCCTGGAGTTCCTATTACACTCATAAGTCAAGCCCTCCTGGCTAGGCCAGCCCCCTCACTGGGTCTGTTTATCAGCCCACATTGGCTGGGTGGACTGATTGGTTACAGGCGCCAGCCCGGGTAAAGTCTGCAATTGATTCTCATAAAACTACACGAGCAAAGCAGATAACAGCAGATGGGAGCTGGTACTCACAGCCAAAAACAAAGACCTGCCCAGATTGGACGCCTGAAGGAGAAAGCCAGCGCACCGCACTGTGTGCCTGGGATACTGTGTTTGGACTCCTCGGTGTCTTGCTTTGTTTTTACTTAAGATGAGATAAATGGATGCCTGGGAAATTAACAGTCATCTGACAAATATTTGTTCCCCAGCTACCGTGTGCCAAGCACTGTGTTAGTCACTGAACACCGAAGCTCAGCGTTTTCATCAGCTGTCTCCTCTGGATGAAAACCACTGTGGAACTGCTCAAACCCCGCTGAGCAGTTACTGCACACCAGAAAGATCCTCTCCTGAATCACAGCTTTGAAACCAAACCAGTTGAGTCAGCTGAAGGTGGCCACTCAGAGCAACTCAACCCAGGGTGACCCTCTTTCTCTCCCCAGCCAGACTCCCAACAAACGTGAAGAACCCAAACCCAACTCCACCACTGGCACTTTAAGAACAAGGCAGGAACTGCTCTCACTTGAGCCTTTTGACCCAATTATCAAGTCCTGCAACTGAAACCTTCCCCTTGGGAGCCTGGCTCTCAGGGAGATGAGCTCGGCCTGAAGTTCCCAAACGCCCCAGTTCTGCACCTTGCTCAGGGTGTTTTAAGGGGTAGCCTATGAATCCCCGAAACCACGTGTACATGTGCACCTTGTGAGGAGGGACTACATGTTCCCCTGAGGGCAAGTTCTGTCTTCGCCAGGCCCTAACCCCACAGAACGGGGGTGGGGCAAGGGAAGAAAAAATGGGGAAAAGGACTGCAACTGATCAACTGAGTAAGAGATTTTTAGAATTTCTACGGCAATACTGATAAGCCCTGTGCCTGGGCCTGTCAGACATGCAACATGCACCTCTTGACTGATCAGGGACCTGGAGCTGATCTCCAGCACATCAAGAAAAAACTGAGGCAGCCAGGCTACAGCACCAGTGAGGAGGATGAAGAGGAGCAGCCACCCATAGAGATCAGGGACTGAGATCTGAGCCACAGGCTCTCAGTGTCCCCCACGATGGGCCTACACACAAGCAGTCCCACCTAGGCAGGGAGACCCAGCCGTCCCCTCCCTGCAAACCCTTACCATTTCTGGAAGTGAGCCAAGGTCTCCCCACCGGCCATTTGGTTACCAAGACTCTTAAAACAAGCACAAAGGAAAAAATCAAAAACAGCCAAAATGATGGAGAGGGTAATGGGTCATTAAGTCATATCCACAGGCTGCAATAGCACACAGCCATTATTGAGAATTTTTATTAGACTTGAGGAAATGTTTACAGTATTAAGTTGGGGGAAGGGAGGATGCTGCATACAACACAGACTGTGTAGAGTATCTCTACTTTGTAACCATATTGCTGCACAAGTGCTCATACACGCTACATGGAATACACCACTGCAACACACTCGAAGTGGTTACCTGGGGACAGGCTTATGACTTTCCTATATGATTTACATTTCCCTACAGTTTTTTGCTTGTTTGTTTTTCTGAGATAAGGTCTTGCTATGCTGTTCACTGGCCTTGAATTCATTATGTACTTCCAGGCTAGCCTCAAACTCACAGGGATCCTCTTGCTTCAGCCTCCAGAGTGCTGAGACTACAGGCATGCTCCACCATGCCCTGCAATGTTTCAGTTTACAATGGTCTTTAAAAATGTAAGCAGTAGCCGGATGTGGTGGTACATGCCTGTAATTCTGGCACTCCAGAGGCTGAGGCAGGAGGATCCTTGCCAGTTCCAGACCAGCCTGAGCTACAAAGTGAGCTCAAGGCCAGCCTGAACTGCATAGTGAGACGCTGTCTCAAAAAGACAAAAAAAAAAAAAAAAAAAATGTAAGCAGTAGTTTTCAAGCACAGGACAGTAACAGTTGAAGTATGATAATAACAATCCTTGCTGTGCATGGTGGCACATGCCTGTGCTCCCAGCTCTTGAGAGGCTGAGGCAGGAAGACTGCTGTGAGTTTGAGGCCAGCCTGGGCTACAAAGTAAGAGCAGGTCTCAAAAAAAAAAAAAGCCTTCATATTTGCACAAGTTTTTTTTTTTTTTTTTTTTGGTCTTTTTGAGATAGGGTCTCACTATGCAGTTCAGGCTAGTCTTGAATTCACTTGGTAGCCCAGGCTGGCCTCAAACTTGCAACAATCCTCCTGCCTCAGCCTCCTGAGTACTGGGATTACAGGCGTGCGCCACCATGCCCAGCTCTGCACAGACTTTTCAGTTTTGTATGTACTCTTATTTGATGTGTCTAATTCCAGCCTCAGGATCCTTGAAGTGGCGTTATCTCCACATTACAGCTGGGTCAACTGTGGCACAGAAAAATGTATGTGTTACCTGGGTCCTGGATCCAACACTGAGAGTCACATTGCACTGGACCACATCTGGCCACGGCACCGTCCTGTCCACATCCTTCCCATCTTCCACACACAAGAGAACAAAGCAAAAACAACAACCAAAACCCCACGGAGAACCAACCAAGTGGGGAGAAGAGAGAATGAGCTCCACACGAAAACACATCTAACAAGACCTCTCCTTCTTGTTATTATTTTTGAGATAAGGTCTCCTTATGCATTCCACGCTGGCCTCAAACTCACAGAGATCTTTCTGCCTCATTCTCTCTCAAATGCTGGGATTAGAGGCATGTGCCACCACGCCCAGCCCAGAGCTGTCTTCCTAGACACTCTCCCCTCTCAACCATCTGCCATCACAGCAAAATTCAAGACCTAGGTCTCTACAAGCTATTTAACCATGCAAAAGACAAAATTGCCACCCGTCCACTGCCCTCACCGTGACCACGGAGCGGGGACACTGAGCCTCCCCAGGGCACTGTCCTCTCCCACACCCTGGAGCCATGGAGGGTCCTCTACACACAGCCCACCCCCACCCCTTCACAGCCCCTGCCCAGTGGCCTGGAGGACATACACAGCTAAGATTGGGTTGTGCCCAGAGGTTTTGCTCAGATTAAGACGGAGATGCCATTTCTTGCAGGCGAGTTTTAAGGACAGTCCTGTGCTTTCCCTCCTTCCTGAAGGAATTGAAATGCCACCCTGAGCTCTTATCCTTCCCTCTACTAGGTCCAGCCCTGCTTCGGGGTAAACCTGGGGCTCCAGCCACACTCCCCACAGCCTTCCTCCCTGAGGGAGGGAGGCACAGGTCTTGGTGCTGTCACTGTTAAAACACACCCAAGCCCACGCTGCCCCAGCCCTGTCCCAGCGCAGTGCTCCCCCCTCACTCTAGCTTCCTCCCTTGATACACACCAAGAGGCAGGGTCGGGCCAGGGGACCCCTTTACCAGCACTCGGGCTCCCACTACAGCCAGGCACCCCAGGCGCCTTCCGGCCAGACGGGAGCTCTCCCCATCTCAGCCCCTTCAGGCAGCGAGAGCCTCGCAGAGCAGCCGCCTGGCGCCACCCTCCCGACACCCCGTTTGGCTACCGGGAAATCCAGGGTGTCTCCGAAGCCCAGGACCAGAGGCCTGGCCATGCTAAACAAACGCAAGGAAGACAAACAACCGGGCAGACAGCCGGGTCGCCCGCACCACCGCTATCCCCCAACGCCAACGAAGACCAAGGGGGCGGGCCTGGCTCTCCTGGGACTCAGGGGCCGCAGGCCAGCGCGCTGGGTTAGGACTCGGGGAGGACGGCGCGCCCCTGCCCTCTCCGACGGGCAGCACAGTCAAGTCCCGATCGACGGGAGACGAAGAGGGACCTCGGCGCGCGCTCGGGAGGGGCCAGTGCTGGGGACTGGAACCGCCCGGAGTCACCTGGAGGAGGGTGACAGGCACCCCGGCGGGCCAAGCAAGGCGCCCACCCACAGGCTGCGGTGAACCCGTCCCCTACCTGCTGCGGAGTCCCCCCTCTCTCCAGGTCCTCTCCAAAACTGGCGTACCCACCTTTCCTGGGCTGGCTACTAGAAGCGGACGTCCCTCCAAAGCAAGTCCACAGCAAAAAATCACGATCGCCACCGCGCCCCTCGACGGCTGGGCCCCGCAGCGCCGGCTCAGCCCAGGTGGGGACTGCGGACTGTGCGCCCGGCCTCGCACAGCCCGTACCTGCCCGGCCCAGGTGAGCGGAGTCACGTCATCGCCGCGCCCCAGGACGCCGCCGCCGCTCGCGGCTGGCCCCGCCCCCAGGTGTGGACACGCCCCTGGCATTCGGGATTGGCCGGTGGTGAGAAATAGGATACTCCGCGTTCCACGGCCACCCAGCCCCGCCCCGCCCCCGCCCCACCCCACCCTACTCACCCGCTACCACCCGGCCAAGAGAAGTCCCAGACTCTGGCCTCACCTTTACGCCTCGGGGCTGGTGGTCCTGGGAACTGGAGGCGACTGGGAGGTCAAATCTAATTTGAGAGGGCGCCTCCCCACCTTCACGCCGCACAATTACCCTGAAGTTTGGGGACAGTTAAGCACAATAGGGTTTGAGATTCCGAGTTGGCCTTCGGTCGCGCATTTGACTACGAGGGAGCTTGAGGCCTAGGTTCTGTCCCTGTGGAATCCGGAATTGGAATTCTGCCTTGACTTTGCCCCTTACCCTGGGGACCCTGGGTAAGCCACAGTACCTTGCTTCTGGGCTTCACTGCTCTAGTCCATTCAATGAGAACAATGCTCCCGGACCTTTCTTTTTTCTTTTCTTTTTTTTTTTTTTTGTCTTCTTTTTGAGACAGGGTCTCACTGTGCAGTTCAGGCTGGCCTTGAGCTTACTTTGTAGCCCAGGCTGGTCTCGAACTCGCAAGGATCCTCCTGCCTCAGCCTCCCGAGTGCTGGGGTTACAGGCGTGCGGCACCACGCCCGGCTCCCTGCCCTTTCTAATCACTGTCTGGTAGTGATTGAAAGCATTGCTCCTGTAGGCAACGATTGCGGTTCAATCCCCAACTCAGACAGGAACAGCAGAGCTCCTGGGCCTCGGTTCCTTATCTGCAGAATGACATTCCCTTGTGGGGGTTCGATAAGTCGCTGCATATACATGCTTGGAGCACCTACCAAGTGCTGGCAGTATAATTCTTAGGGATCAAAAGTACCATGTAGACAGTGCCCCCATGTAACAGGGCATCCTTTGTTATTACGTGAAGTCCACATGCAATATTACGTGAATCCATCTTACCTGAACATGCTTGGTGAACCGTCCTCCTCTTCCCCTCCACATAGAACACATGTGTACTGGGAGCTGTGCGCCACCACATCCCCCACCCTCAAACCCTCAAGCGGTCAGGGGAGATGGGGCATGGGCAGTGTTTGGGCTTCCATGCTTAAGTAATGAGGGAGAAACCGTGGAGGAATGGTGGTCGGGGTTGAATTATGTCCCCAGCCCTCAAAAGTTCCATGTGTGAAGTCCTAACCTCCAGGATCTGAGAATGAGAGCATACTGGGAGACAAGGTCATTACAGAGACAGTCAAGCTGCAAGGAGCACAGTAGGGTGGGCCCTAACTCAGTAAGTAGGGTCCTTATAAAAGAAAGAGAGGCCAGCTGTGGTGACACATGCCTGTAATCCCAGCACTAGGAGGCTGAGGCCAGAGGGTCACTATGAGTTCAAGGCCAGCCTGGACTACATAGTGAGACCCCATCTTTAAATAAATAAATAAAATAAAACAAGAGATTTGGACATGGAGGTAGACATGCGTAGCAGAAATATGATGCTAAGAGCCAGTGAGAAGATGCCGAACACACGTCGAGGGGAGAGATGTTGGAATAGCTCCTTGCCCACAGCCCTCAGACCTTAGCTTCAGAATGATGAGAAGATACCTGTCTGGTGTTTAAGCCCGCTTGTCTGTGGTACATTGTTATGACAGCCCCAGTAAAATAACGTGATTTGAGAGACTCAGATTCGTGATAACTGGACTTGTTCTTGGCCCCAACTCAGCATTGGGATGCAGCCAGCAGAGGCCGGGGAAGGCAGGGTGTCCTGAGGCCTGACTCGGCCAGCTTCAGGCCCAACCACTACCCTGGGCCACTCTTCCCTTCACTCCAGGGAGGGGCTCACTCTCCAGCCAGCCCCGTCTTTATTGCTGATGAGCTCACTAAGTAAGCAGCATCCTCCATCTGGCCCAGGCTGGGCAGCTGAGACCAAGCAAACAGTCCAGGTGGGGGGGAGGCGGGCTGGGGGAATACCACCAGGACAGTGTCATCTGGGGGGAAGCCGAAAGTGGCACACAAGCGTGAGCCCCCTCACACAGGCACTCACTTTTGCACCAGTGGAAATTCCAGTGACTAATGTGAATTCTGAAGGATCAGCTTTAGAAAGCTCGAATTTCAGAATCAGGAAAGTTCAAACTTGGAGAGTCCTTTTAGATATTCTGATCCAGGGGCAAAACTGGCTTAGAGATGTTTGTTTGACTCACAGAAAATTTTAAATTCCTACAGATTTCATTGAAGTCCAGCAGCATCTCTTGGAGCCCTGTGCTCTGTGCACCCAGGCTGGTAGTTCCAGCTGCCCAGGAAGAGGGCATCCACACAGTACATTCAGGACACTCCCCGCTCCATGGACTCACACATTTCCTTAATCATGTGACACCTGCATTCAAATTCCCCTTTTTTATAAGTGAGAAAGTTGAGATCCCAGAGAGGTCCTGTGATTTACTCAAAGCCACAGAGCAACGTAGCCACAAGACCAAGACTAAGTCTCAAACCCAGGGCCCTTTCCACTTGGACCCTGATCAGGCGGCCCAGGCTTGTTGTCCCAGCAAGAGTCTATCCTGAGTGACATTATTCTGGTTGTCAACTACTTTAAAAAAAAATCACCACGAATCCAGGTATTGTCACGATTACATGGAGTAAACACTCTGCTCAATAATTGATGAAGGGGAGAAAGCAGGAGCAGTGAAGGTGCAGACAAGGAATTCCTGACTCCCTGTGAGGAGACCTGGCAGAAGCCCACGCTGAAGTCTTCTTTGCTTGTGACTGTGCCTCATCTGCTTGGTCTAGGGACAAAACACCTTGTGAGGAATCTGGTCCTTTGGGGTTCAGACACTCCCAGTGTGACTTGGGCCTGTGATGCTCCTGTCATTTTCCCTCTGTTTGCTACTCAGGTTGGGCATTGTTGACTCACTTGTGAGTGTGAGTTTCAGGCAGTGGGATGTGCGTGTCAGCACCAGGCCCTGATTCACCGCCCGGGAGGGAGGATGGATGGGGTTCACCTTGGCGGCTCTGATTTTGTGGAAAGGAGTCTCTTTCCGCAGGACTTTACGTTCTATAGCATCAGACAGGAGACTAGAAGCCCTGAGACTCCAATCCTACCCTTGGCAGAACAGAAGGCGTGGTAACTGGGCACCCGCCCAAGGGCTCTCTCCAGTAAGCGCTCAGCTTCAGCCTTCCTGGAGTTGGGAGAGCAAGGAGTTGCTGAGGCTGGGCAGCAGTCTGGTGGACTTGCTAAAGAGGGTGGACATCAAGCTAAACAAGCCAATCTTTCCCTCTCTCTGCCTCTCTTTCTCCCCACTGCCCCGTGTGTGTGTGTGTGTGTGTGTGTGTGTGTATGTGTGTGTGTGTGTGTGTGTATGCTGGTATGGGGATTGAACCCAGGGCTTTCCTACTAAGCTACAACCATAGCCCATTTTAATTTTTTTTATTTTAAGACAGAGTCTTGCTACATCACTAAGTTGACCAGTATGGACTCACACTTGTAATCCTCCTGCCTCAACCACCCAGAGTTCCAGGAATGCAGACTTGTGCCACCACAACCAGCCAATTCTGGGCTCTCTTAAAGGAACTCAGGCCCATCAAGTCTACCCCAAATCCTTTGTTGGCCCTGGTTTATCTCTGCCTCTATCCAATTTAGGGTGGTGGCAGTGGTTTTGTTTTTGAGACAAGGTCTCAAAAACTGCTATGCAGTTCCAGCTGGTTTTAAACTCACTGTGTAGCACAGGCTGACCTCAAACTTGCAGTGATCCTCCTGCTTCAGCCTCCTGAGTGCTGGGATCACACCACACCTGGCTTATCCAAATATTTCAAGGTACAGGGCTACAGATGAACCTAACACACATTGCCTAAACCACGGGCTAGAGTAATATACATTGGTTTTGTTCTCTTACCATCCCTCCCTCTGCCCTCTTATCCCATGTGGACTGCATCCTAGAATATGCTACAAATCCTGAAACCAGGGAGATGGCAGAGAGCTGCAGCAGGCCGGCAACAGAAATAAGTATGGAAATGAGCCTTGCTTCCAACCCCAGCCACAGAGCAGAGGCTTGGGCTTGGGCTCCAGGAGAATACCCCCCCTGAGTGTTCAACTTTCTTTTTATCCTTGAAGCCAGCTGCGCACTAGTAAGCAGCTCTCTCTATTCCAAAGTTGGGTCTGTGTGGGAGGGTGAGAGGAGAATCAGGGCTGAGTCCCTCGCTTGGAAGGAAGCTTCCCTGGGACATCTGTCCACTGTTCCTCTCCTTTGGTGCAAGTCTGTGAGAGTCCACTTCCCTGCTCATCCTGCTAGGGGAGATTTCCCCTGGCTCTGCAGACCAAAGAGCTGAACAAGGAACTTCAACCACCACAAGCGGGACAGCTCGTGGTTCTGATTCAGAGGTGCTGCCCTGTGGGAACTGCCCAGTGGTGTGATTTTGGCTTCCTGATCAGCACGAACAACCTTCCCCGTGCTCCTACACTGCTTTGAAAAGAGCGAGTCGATCTGAAGGCAATGGTGGAGGAGCCTGTGTGTGGGGCCGCCTGCGCTACTGTCCCCGCCTGTCTCCTCCGGGGAAACCACCCTCTCCAGGCATCGGGAAAGTCCCTGCGGGCTCACCGAAGGGAGCCCTTGTAGGTCAGGAGCTCCCAGCACAGTGCCAGGCTCACTGTGAGCTAAATGAACACTGGAGCATTTGGTGACTTCCAAAAACTGAGGTTGGAGGTGGGAATGGTGGTGCACACCTATAATGCCAGCTACTTGGGAGTCTGAAGCAGGAGGATCACAAGGGCAATTTAGAAAGCCCTTGTCTCAAAATGCAATAAAAGAGCTGCAGATGCAGCTCACTTCTCCCTGGGTTCCATCGCCGGCACACACCCTCCCCGCCAAAAAGGCATGTGTGTTCACAGAACTTTCTAGGGGAGCAGCAGGGCAAGAAGTAGGCTCCTGTTTAACATAACAGATTGGCAAATGTGTTTAGCTTCTACTCTTCCCCAGTTCACCACAGTATTATGACAGTGAGGGAATTAAAAGTATGTATGGATCCACAAGGTTATAGGAAGATAAAAAGTATGGGAGGGATGATAAGAATGGATGAGAGATTTCAACAATGGTAGGAGATAAAATGCTATTTGAGGGCCAGGGATGTAGCTCAGTGGCACAGCACCTGCCTGGCAAGCACAAGGTAGAGTTCAACTCCCAGTACCAAAAAAAATGTTATTTGAGCAAAAATAGGAAGTGGGAAGAGCTGACGTTTTGGTTGTAAAGCTTTTGGTACTATGTGATTTGTAAAGCAAATATACATAATATTTATTCAAATACTTTTATCATTACTTTAAAAATGGAAGAAGCAGCCGCACTCATGAAGGAGCTGAACAGATGCCCCAAACACCTTCGCCTTCCAACAATGCCTACCCTTGTGATGAAATTCTACACGTGGCACTGAGACCCTCCAAACACCAAACTGAGCTTTGGAATGAGTCCAGGTTTGTTGCAAATCTCCCTTCCCT